TCTGGGGGCAGTGACTAGTTAGGGGCAGTGGCTATATTTAGTCTGGGGGCCTGAGGTGTGGTTAGAGCCAGATTGTGTGCTTAAATCAGGACACATTTGCTGTTCAGTGGAGCCCATAAGGAAGTTAGAATGTTGGCACTGGGGGCAGCTTTATTAGGATTCCGTCAAGGTCGGGGACTTAGCGAGTTCTGGGCAAGCAGTAGTCTTTGATCAACTTTATAAGATGTTCTCTATTTGTTGATTCAGCATGGCAGGTTTCACTGTTTATGTGTGGTTGGTTGATAATCTGTGCCATGTGGACTATCCTGAGATTCTTCCCTGTGTGATATTGCAGAAACAGATTAAAGGATGAGATTTATGCCTTTCTGGAACCCCTGGGAACTGTTTTGGATTGGGGATATGGACAATATGTTCAAAATGCACTCCACTTGATTTGCTGGAGAAGGCAAGTTTTTGAGCAGTGTGGGGATTGTAATGGGTGGCTAGCCAATGAGAATTTCATCCATCCTTCGAGTGTCTGAAGTCTCCTGGTGGCTAGCCAGGTAGGATGGATAGAGTACTGGACCTGGAGTTAGGAAGACCAGATTTCAAATCCAGCCTCAGACTCTTCCTAACTATGTAACCGTGGGCAACCTCAGTGATTCTTGTGAGGATCAAGTGAGACAATATTTGTAAGGCACCTTGCAAATCTTAAAGCGCGATATAAATGCTAACTATTCATTATTAATTCTGTCTCGGGCATCCCCGTGTGGAAGCTGGATAATTCTACTTCTGGGCATGGGTAATAGAATGGTCCTGCTCCCCAACTTGGGAGCAGTGTAGAGGTACTGTGTGCCTTTTGAATTGGCTGCTGAGTCAGAACCAGGACTGCATACAAAAGACGCCCACGTGGGCAACTCACTTCTTTCTAAATTAGCTGCATTCCCGCTGGAGGTGGGGTTGCTGTGAGCCTGGGATAGGAAGAGAAAACTGGTGCTAGCGGCCTGCTCTCCCTTATGATATTGGCATGAAACCATGAGTATATGTTTCTCTCTCTATCGTGTTCATTCTTTCTTGACTTAGGTGAAGGAGCATTGTAGATATCACAGACTAGGCTTCAACCTCATGAGCTTATGAAGGTTGGGAGAGGTCCAGAAGCTAGAGTCCGTGCTAGAGTTTGCAGATAGCCAAGGCTAGTCCACCAGCACAGCCTTGAGGACCCATTGGGACTAGCCCAGTAATGGGTTGACCCCATAGCCAAGATGCTGGGTCCTATGTTCGAGGGTGTGACGATGTCCTTCGGCTGTGCTCAATCCAGAAGTGAACTTGGTGGGGTGAATGCTTTCTAGCAACTACTTTAAGGTTGAGCCTATTCTCCCCAGGGATTGAAGTGGTATAAAGAAGCGTATGCTCCTGGGTGTTGGGGAGAAGCGGTTATACTTCTATTCTTGCTTGATCTTCTCAGTAAGTGATGTTAATTGGTTAAATGACACAAGTGCTCTAATTACTAGTGATTGATTTCGGAGAGAACACAAAAATGGGGGTTCAGGCTGATAACATTATAGAAGAACTCCATAACCTTTCAGAGGTACCCCTAGGACCCTGAAGGGGTAATGTAGAACCAACTCAGCAATACGAGTGGGATTTGGGATAAGGGTCCCTCAGAGCTTCTAAAGGTTATGCCGGTGAGATGAACCAGAGAGTGACTTGCCCAGAGTCACACAGCTAATAAGTCATAAAGCCTTGAACCCTGATCACAGGATCATGCATCCAGAGACTGAAGAGACAGAAGAGACCATCTCGGCCAACCCCTTCATTTTACAGATGAGTAAACTGAGGTTCAGGATGGTTAAATAATGCCTCAATGCAGTGATCTTTCCTTCTGTCTACCTAGACTTATCCCCAGTTTTTGGGAATCTGTCTCTCTACAGCTCTTTTATTCTGTTATGTTATGAGGTCCTCAAGGGCAGGGACTGTCTTTTGCCTTTTTTTGTATCCCTAGAGCTTAGTACAGCGCCTGGCACATAGTAGGTATACTGACTCTGCCCTAGCAGTGTGCCCCAACCCACCAACACACCTGTCTTGGAAGCTGCGTGCCTAGCCTGCCCCCTTGTGGTTTCTGGAGTCAATAGCAGCTCAGGTCTGGGAGAAGGCTGGCTCTGACCTTATTCTTAGCAGAGCCTGGGACCGGTTTGGTGGATTGCTCTAACGGGAGGTAACCGGTCACTCCTCTGAGCTCTGGCCCCTCTCCCCCAACCCAGGAGGCCTGAAGTAAAAATGGGGGGGGGGTGAGAAAAGGAAATCTCTCCGCGGTGTCCATCCACAGTACAACGGTGTCATCTTGGTACGAGCTCCCTTCTGATCTCAACTCCTCTGCAATCTCAGTTCTTTTATTATCTATGCCTTTGTCTCTTGGGTTTTTGTACGCACGCAGGCGCCTCGCTTGTGTCCTTCACCTCTACTCTCGGCTCCCCGAGAGGGTTTGTGTCTCTATTTCTTCCCCTATAACTCCAGGCCCCTCCCTCCCTCCTTCCCTTCTTCCCTTCTTCCCTTCTTCCCTTTTGCTTTCACTCACTCTCTTCTTTCTCTTTTTACTCTCTCTCTCTGTCTCAGCTCTCTATTTCTCTTCTCTATGTCTCTGCCTCTATCTCTGTCCTCTCTGCTCTCTCTCTCCTTTGTCTCTGTCTCTCTTCTGTTTCTGTGTGTCTCTCTCCTTTGTCTCTCCTTCAACTTGATTTTAATCCTCCCTCTGTCTCTGTCTTTATCTCTGACTGCCCTTTCTCTCTATCTCTCTCCTTTTTCTGTCTTGGTGTTGCTCTGTCTGTCTGTATTCTGTCTCCTTTCTCTCTGTGTCTCGTCTGCCTGGCTCTGTCTCTTTCTCTGTCTCTATTTCTCGCTCTCTTTTTCTCCTCTCTGTCTCTCTCCCCCACCCCTGACTTCAGAGGAGGGAAAAACCAAAACAGAAGCAGAAGCCTTCAGAAGCCTGGCATCTGAAACCTGACAATGGCCCTGGTCTCCCAGTGGCCTCATACTTGTTAAATTCAGTGTCAAAGGCAGACCAGGTTCCGGGAAGCAGCAGCAACCAGCCTGGAGACGCTGGCATCATGAACAGAACAGATGGCACCACCCGTGGACAGTCCCTTCAAGTGGGCCCTGGGGCCAGGCAAGGCTGGGGATGGCTCAATTCTGCCCTTCGGGGACAACCGTGGCAATCAGTCACTCAACAGTGTTCATTAAGCTCCTACTCTGCACCAGGTGTTACACAAAGGCAAAGAAATGAGACAATCCCTGCTCTCCAGCGGACGTTACATCGCCCGGCCAGCACCGTGGCTTAGGTTGCTTCATTACCAGCTGCCTGGACTAGAGCCATAGCCTCCTAAAACATTTTGCCTCGACTTTCTCCATCTCCAGCCACCCTGTCGGCGCTGAGACACCATCGTCTTTGGCATAGATCTGGCCATGTTACTCCCACTCAGACATCTTTGAAGTCTCCCCAGTCTGTACTGATTAAAGTCCTAACGCCTTTGCCTGGCATTCGAGGCTCTCCGCCATCTGGCATCAATCTGCTTTTCCCACTTTATGTCTCTCCTGCACTATATTACAGTCAGCCTGGACCACTTATGCCTCCCCTGCCCTTCCCACCCCAGGGCTCTTGTGCAGACTCTTCTCTGTGATAAGAAGCTCCTCCTTCCTCCCCATTTTTGTATTTTGAAATCCTGTTGCTACCTTAAGGACATCAATACTGCAATAACTACATGACTTCATTGAGATGGGCATTACCTCCAACCATACAGACCACAGTGCATCCACGCCTCCCCATCCAGTGCAACTCTTATCCAGGTCTTGCCGTAAGTTCACCACAGAGGGCTTGACCCAGCGGGCTGGGGGCCTCACACTCTCTTGATATTACATAGATATCAATGTATGTCAATGCGTTGCTGACACAGTGGATCTGGAGTGCTGGACCTGAAGTTCAGAAAACTTGAGTTCAAATCTAGCCCCGCACACTTGCTAGCTGTATGACACTGGGGAAGTCAATTAACCTCTGCCTATCTCAGTTTTCTCAATTATAAAATGGGGATAATAACAGCACCTACCTCTCAGGGTTTTATAAGGATCAAATGAGATATTATTTGTAAAGTGCTTTGTACAGTGTGCTAGTTGGCACTAAATAAATGCTCATTTCCTTCCTTCCCTTCTCCTTTCCTTTCCTTTCCTTCCCTTCTGTTTCCATTTCCTTTTCTTTTTCTTCCTTCCCTCCCTTCTTCCCTCCCTCCTTCTTTTCCTTCCTATCTTCCATTTCCTTCCTTCCTTTCCTTCCTTCCTTCCTTCCTTGCTCTCCCTGCATGACTGGCCCACCTTTTTTTTTCTTTTTCTGACAATACGTTTCTCTGCTGACATCCTTTATATTGTATCATTTTCTGCATCATTATTTCAGGAATCTCATATAATTTTTTTTTGTTCAGTTGTTTCACTCGTGTCTGACTCTTCATGAGACACTGGAGTAATTTGCCATTTCTTTCTCCAGCTCATTTTACAGATGGGAAAACTGAGGCAAACAAGATTAAGTGATTTGCCCAGGGTCACACAGCTAAGTGTCTGAGGTCAAATTTGAACTTAGGGAGGTTAGTCTTCCTGACTCCAGGCCTGGTACTCTATCCACTGTGCCACCTAGCTGCCCCAATCTTATATAATTTTGATGTATTAATGTATACAGGAAGGCCCCTTATTGGAAAAGGGCGTGTAAAGCTCTACCCAACCAAGCACTCTACCTATAGTCAACAAATAAAGAGGACAGTCCATGTTTTCCAGTTATTTGTGTATCTATAACACTCATCATGGTCTGCTATAACTTGCCCCTTCTCAAATTTTCATCAAGAAATGCCCTCTACACATTGGTGGAATGTTCTCATAAAACAATTTCATAAATGAGAAATTAGGCATGTGGGCCAGCACTTACTGACATTTCCCTGGTCTTCCATTTTATTGGGAATGGTAGAGTCCGAGATTTTTTTTTCCTACCCTTTTGTTATTCTCTCCACTTTCAAACACCTTGAGAGTTAATCTCTCAGCGTGCTTGAAATTGTGTCACCTCCAGCATGGACCTTCCCTAAGGGTACTTGGCCTGGGCCAGCTGCTTTTCATGGTTTTGTCTTCCTTAGCTGACAATGAGGCACACACATGGAAACCCGTGTAGCTAAGATGACTCACACAGCTAGTACTGACTGCAAGGCCCTGCAAGCCTTTCTTTCCTAACGGAGCCCTCAGGCTACTTCCTCCTGGGAACAGTATCCCTGCCTGGCTGGGCACTCAACTCTCAGGTCTCCACTGAATCCACAGTTGTCTCTCTTTTCTGCTGCTAGAGGTCGTGCTCCTTGAAGCTGTTTCCCGTTTCTCATTCTCTGTGTCTGTGTTTGTCTCCCTCCTACCAGACAAAGCTCTTTGATGAAAGATACCACGGCTGATGATGGAGTCGGCAGCAGTTGAGGAGGGAGAAGAAATGAGAGAGAAATCGCCATCCCGTTCTTTGGTATACGTACGAGGATCACAATCCACAAAGTTTCTCCCTGGCTTGAATGTGCCTCAACTGCTAATCAGGACTGGCAGACTTGTCTTTTTTTTTCCTTTTACATTTAATTTTAATTTTATTTTTCTTAATTGTTGTTGTTTAGTTGTTTCAGTTGTGTCCCACTCTTTGTGACCCGTTTGGGGTTTTCTTGGCAAAGATACTGGGATAGTTTGCCATTTCCTTTCTAGCTCATTTTACAGATGAGAAACTGAGGCAAACCAGGTTAAGTGACTTGCACAGGGTCACGTAGCTAGTAAGTATCTGGGGCTAGATTTGAACTCAGGTCTTCCTGACTCTAGGCTGCTGCTCTATCTGCTGCACCACCTAGTTGTCCTTTTTCTCAATTGCATGTAAACAAAATTTTTAACATTTTTTTTGAGGCAATTGGGTGTAAGTGATTTGCCTAGGGTCACACAGCTAGTAAGCATCTGAGGCTGGATTTGAGCTCAGGTCCTTCTGAAGCCAGGGCCAGTGCTCTATCCACTGCGCCACCTGGCTGTTCCTTTAAAATTTTTAAAAATTTTGAGTTTCAAATTCTCTCTCTCCCTTCCTCCCCTCCCGCTTCCTTGAGAAGGCAAGCAATTTGACATAGATTATGCATGTGAAGTCATGCAAAATGTTTCAATGTTAGCCATGTTGCAAAGGAAAACACACACAAAAAAATAAGAATAATAGTTTAAAAAGTATGCTTTGATCTACATTCAGACTCTGTCAGTTCTTTCTCTGGAGATGGGATAGCATTTTTCATCATGAGTCCTTCAGAATTGTCTTAGATCGTTGTATTGTTGAGAATAGCTAAATTATTCACAGCTGATCATCATACTATGTTGCTGTTACTGTGTACAATATTCTCCTGGTTCTGTTTACTTCACTATGCATCAGTTCGTGTAAGTCTTTTTAGGTTATTTTTTTCTTTTTTTTCTTTTTTTTTGATGAGGCAGTTGGGGCTAAGTGACTTGTCCAGGGTCACACAGCTAGCACGTATCCTGTGTCTGAGGCCAGACTTGAACTCAGGTCCTCCTGACTCCAAGGCCAGAGCTTTATCCACTACGCCACCCAGCTGCCCCTATTTTCAGGTTTGTTTTTTTATTTAAACATCATGTCATCATTTCTTATAGCACAATAGTATTCCATCACAATCATATACCACAACTTGTTCAGTTATTTCCCAATGGATGGGCATCCCCTCAATTTCCAATTCTTTGTCAACACAAAAAGAGCTGCTATAAATATTTTTGCACATATAGGTTCTTTTCCCTTTTCTTTGATCTCTTTGGGATAACGACCCAGTAGTGATACTGCTAGGTCAAAGGGTATGCACAGTTTTATAGCCCTTTGGCCATAGTTCCAAATTGCTTTCTGAAATGATTAGATCAGTTCACAACTCCACCAACAAATGCCGGCAGGTCTTGTAAGAGCTACCAGGACACAGCCATTCTTTTGGCCAGTCAATGGAAAGCTGTCTTGCTAATTTCATCAGGGAAAACTCTTTCACACTTGGTTGAAGTTCCAACTTACTCCCATTTTTTGCTGAAAGCATACCCTACCCTTCTTAATTCTAGTGCCTTCCCTCTGTAAATTATTTTTTTTATTCATCCTGTACATAGCTTGCTTTGCATATAGTTGTTTACATGTTGTCTCCCTGTTAGATTATAAGCTCCTTGAGGACAGTATTCCCAGTATGTTAGCACAGTGCCTAGCACATAGTAGACCCTTAATAAATGCTTATTGATTGATTGATTAAAAGGAGAAGAGGGCATAAACTCATGTTTGTGCTTTGTTTTAGCATATTAACATCTCATCTCTTTACTTTCTGTGATCACATCACAATGATTATACCAACTGATCTGGGGAATAAAATAAACTCCCTGCTTGTACATTTCCCCAAATATAATCAAAGAGGGGCAAGAAACTCTCCAGAATGCACATCTAAAGCTACAAAAGGAAACAGTTCCAGTGAGGAGTCAAACTATGAGTTATCAGAAAAGGTTGATGTGGGTTCGTTGGTAACTCACAAATCCATCTCAGCCAGGGGTGGGGAACCTGTGGCCTCGAGACCACATGTGGCCCTCTAGGTCCTCAAGTGTGACCCTCTGACTGAATCCAAACTCCCCAGAACAAATCCTTTTATTAAAGATTTTATTTATTAAGAATTTCTAGACTTTTAAAAAGATATGTACAGAACAGATGAAAGCTCAGACAGGTCACAGAGAATGAATAGAAGGATTTGGCACAGCCTTATAAAAATGGTGATAATCAACAAAAAAGAGAAGGCAAAGCTGCCTGATCTTTATTTTGTTCTTGTTTTCTCAGCCAAGAAAACTGATCATTGCCTTGAAAATGGCAGAACAAGCATGGCCAGCAGACTCGTGAGAAGGCACCTGGCAGCCCCATGATGAATTCCTGTGGGAGAAGGATGAACCTGTTTGGCCCCAGAGGGCCACACAAGGAGCACACCAAGAAGCTGCAAAGAGGCAAATTTGAGCTTGACATCAAGAACTTCTCAACAATTAGAGCTGATGCTTCCAAAGGTGGTGGGTTTCCCCGCCCTCGAGGGCTTCAAGCAGAGGCTGGACAATCGCTGATCCAGTATGTTACAGTGGGGGGGTCCTTCCATGTATGGGCTGCAGTAGATGGCCACTAAGGTCTCTTCCAATTCTCCTATTTCAAGATAATTAATATCATGTTGGCAACTTGATGCTTACTACGAGTAGCTCCTGATTCTTTTTGTCAAAGAAAGTTTTTGTAATTTTGTTGGGGAGGATAGATTGCTTTGGGATTCTGCATATTTTATTGGCCTTCAGTCTCTTGTTTCTTATTCCTAAACCATATTTTCCAACGTATTTTTCACCATCCTCCCTTATGCTCACCTTTATATTGACGTTATTTAGTATTGTAGCTTATGATGATATAATTAGGAGGGCCTAGAGCATCTAGGTGGTGCAATGGATAGAGCTCCAGGCCTGGAGTCAGGAAGACTCAATCTTCCTGAGTTCAAATCTGGCCTCAAATACTTACTAGCTGTGTGACCCTGGGCAAGTCACCTAACCCTCTTTGCCTCAGTTTTCTCATCTATAAAATGAGCTGGAGAAGGAAATGGCAAACCATTCCAAGAAAACCCCCAAAAGGGTCAAGATGAGTTACTGGACATGACAGAAAAATGACTGAACGATAATTGCATGCTTCATAGCATTTCTCTACCTCAGTCCCTGAAACAGATGTTGCCATCTAAATTTCAAATAGTCTCATCATGGTCTTTTTTTCAGATAGTTACAATGAGCATTGCAATTTGAGGTGACCAAACATTCCATGAAATTATATTTCTGGTTGCCAACCAACTCCTTTATTTTACTTTCCAAGGAAAGTCTGTGAGCCTGCCTTTCATTTAGCTATGGATTTCTTTAGTCTTCTGGTTTCATTTATAGCAAGAATGCCAACCAAGGTTGACATGATTCAGTTCCCCAGGACTATGTTCACTTGTCAATCATCGGAGAAGGATCCCATATTTAGAATACCAATAGCTAAGTAAATGGAGGATGCCGCCATCCTTCCAGCATCATCATTGATTCCTCATTCTCCTTCTCAACCAAATCTTGTTATTTCTACTTCTGCAACATCTCTCATCCATGCCCCATTCTCTTCCCTCACATGACCCCACCCGAGGTCAGGCCCTTCTCACCTCTTGCCTATTGCAAAGACCTTCTCATTGGTGTCTCAGCCTCAAGTTTCTTTGTGTTCCAAGCCATCCTCCACACACTCACTGAGGTGATTTTCCTAAGGCTCATTTTTTTTTAACCATATCACTTTCCTACTCAATAAATTCCAGTGACTTTATCACCTGTAGGGTCATATATAAACTCCTCTGTTTAGCTCTTAAAATGCTGGCCCCTCTGACCTTCCCAGAATGATTACACTGTGGTCTTGCCCGTGGATTCTAGGGTGCAGTTAAACTGGCCTGTGTGCTATTCCTTGTAAATATCTTCGTGTCCCGTCTCCATCTGTGTCTTTGTACTGGCAATCCTCCACATCCAGAATTTCCTCTCTGCAGCTGACCTCTCTTCTATGCGTCATCCTCTCACTATAGAACGTGAGCTCCTTGAGATCAGGGACTGATTTCTTTTTTAGTCTGTATCTCTGTCAGTCAGCCAGTCAACAGTCAGTTAATAAACATTTATTAAGTGTCTGCTGTGTGCCAGGCACTGTGTTAAGAGTTGGGGATATTTAAAAAAAATAAATAAAAGACAGTCCCTGACCCCACAGTCTAATGGAGAAGACAATATGCAAACAAGTATAAAAACAAACTATAGACAGGAGAACTAGGAAATAATTAATGCAGAGAAGGCACTAGAATTAGGAAGTATTGGAGAAAAGCTTCCTGTAGAAGATGGGATTTTAGTTGGGACTTCAAAGAAACCAGGGAAGCCAGGAGGCAGATATGAGGAGAGAGAGAGCAGTCCAGGCATGGGGGACAGCTGGAGAAAAGCCCTAGTTTTTAGCACAGTGCTTGGCAAACAGTAAGTGCTTAATCAATCTTTTTCCATTCCTCACCTCTACCTCTTGGATTCCTGGCTTCCTTTAAGGCATTGCTCACCCACCCCACTTTCTGCAGGAGGATTTTCTTTATTCTCTCTGGGTCTACTGCCTTCCTCAAAGGATCACCCCGTTTTTGTATGTGTTTTGTATATACATAGATATGTGAGCTTAGTTTTCCCTGTTAGAAAACTAACAGGGTCTGTTTCACTTCTATCAGAATCCGCAGCCCTCCATGTTCCACAGTGTCTGGAACACAGTAGGTGCTGAGTAAATGCTTGTTGATCGAGTAACTGATTGGGTTCCTGGAGAGTCGCCGTTCTCCTTTCCTCAGTAATATCTGGTCCACGTGATTCAGAGTACCAGTGAAGGGCAAAATCCGGGTATGACCCTCTATGTTGACTTGTGCCTCCTGGCTTCTTGGTTCTGGACCTGCCGATGGTTCTCAGCCTCATGGTTCCTTGCTTTTCTCAGATCCTACCAGAGCATATTATTATCATCATAATTATTATTAGTAGTAGTAGTATTACATAAGTGCTATTAATACACAAATCAATAATTTAATCATTTGAATTTTAACACATAAATTAATACACAATACATGATTAACACATAAATGCCATTATGATTATACAGGCTTATATATTATTATAAATACTTTTAATAATACTAATAATAGCATTTATGTAGCACTTCAAGGTTTATAAAGTGCTTCATAAGTATCTCACTTTATCCTCGTAACACCTTTGGAAAGTAGGTGCTATTCTTATCTCTATTTTACAAATGAGTAAACCGAGGTGGACAGCAGTTAAGTGACTTGCCCAGGATCTAAATGTCTGAAGCCAGATTCAAATTCAGGTCTTCTTGACTTTTAGGCCAGGATTCTTTCCACACTTATTTGACAGTATCATATTCTACAATGGAGCATGGTTAAGTGAATAAAGTGCTGTGAGATCCCATGAGGAAGAGATCAAAGGATCAGGGCTTTCATGTAATTTTGTTTCAGGGCCCAGAAAGTTGGTCCCAAGCCTTTCAATACTTACTTCAGAAAGTATGTATGTGCATGTGTATGTAAATATATGTATATATGCACACATATAACAAATACATTAAATATATATAAATATATAAATATAAATATATGTAACAAAATATATATGCAAGAATGCTTTGCAAACCTTAAAGTGCCATATAAATGTGATTAACAATAATATAATAATATATACATGTTATTAACAATGATAATAATAAACATATTGCTTCTCTCTTTGTAAAGTACTCTGGGGAAAAAAAGACCTTATTCCTTGCTGTTCAGCTTTCAGGGGGTGCGTCTTGATAGTTGAGTCTTCAAGTCAATTAAGCACCTACTATATGCTAAATAAAATAAATAGTATGTGATATATACTATATCACTGTGCTAAATGCTTGGGATATAAGGAAAGGCCGAAACA